CCCCCCCCCCCCCCCCCGCTCTGTCTCCACCTGTGTTTGGCGCCTCAGCGAAGAGTCCCCGTCTTCCCGAATACCTGTCACATCCCACCTTTATTATTTTTGAAAATATATATTTTTATTGATTTCAGAGAGGAAGGGAGAGGGAGAGAGAGAGAAACAGCGCTGAGAGAGAATGATGGGCCGGCTGCCTCCTGCACGCCCCACACTGGGGATTGAGCCCACAACCTGGGCACCTGCCCTGACCAGGAATTGAACTGTGGCTCCCTGGTTCATAGGTCAATGTTCAACCACTGAGCCACGCCAGCCGGGCACAGTCCTGCCTCTGGAATGCAGGGCACAATCAGTAAGAGCCGCAGGTGCGCTGGTGGGCACCAGGCCCCCGGGCAGGGATGCACTGTTCAAAAGAGAACAATGCGGGACCCCGGCTCCTTATGCGTTTCGTCGGGTTCATCGTTTCCCTCAGCTCCTTAGGAGACAGGCGCTCAGAGGTCGCGGAGCCCGTGCCCACACCGCTCACGCAGCCGCATGAAGTAACCTTGGCACCACAGCTGCGGGGCCAGAGGCCCGGCCACAGCCAACACAGCAGGGCCAGTCCCTGCCCCCCGAGCAGGACAGCTGGCCGGTGGCCGGGCCTCACACAGGAAGCAACACACCGAACAAGCAGCGGCCCAGACCCGGCTTCTCCCGAGAAAGGAAGGTGGACGTGAGAAGCCAGACGTCTCACGAGCGAGCATTGTCTCACGTCTCACGGACGGTGCTGCCCTTCCCACCCACCGGAAGAGTGTCTCCTCTCCCCAAACCCCTCTGGGGGGCCCTGAGACCCTGTGTCCACTTCATAGAAACCCAGAGCGGGGATTTGCTGTTACTTATGCCTGAGACTCTGAAGAGCAAAGGAAAATACCCGCCCCATCCCCCCCACCCCCGCCTGCCCCGCTGTGGCATCGGGTTTCTCTAAAGCACCCGTCCTGGCAGCTCACTTCAGTGGCAGAAAACGCGGAGACGCTGGGGTGCCAGTTCCCCAAGTTCCTCCTCCTAAAGACAACTAAGTGAAGCTAATGATCAATGATCATGGCACACGGAGTTCCCAGCCCCTGCCAGGCAGAGGGTTTAATACCATTAAAATATAAAAAGCTGCATCACCTCAGGAAAGCAATTCATTTCTTGCTTTGACTCGTTCCCAGAACACACCTAAAAAAATGCGTTATTTTCCTTCCCGGCATCAACGAAATATTTTCCAGAACCAGCGCCCCGCCCGCCCCGCATTCCTCCGTCAGGCCCCGCGCGGCGTGTGACCGGCTGGAGACTGAAGGCTGGGGCTTCACAGAAGGCGCTTCTCCCCAGCCCAGCCATGGATCGTCATTTCCATCCTGCGGGGCTTTCTGGGGCGCGCTCCCCCACGCAAACACAGAGTTTCCACTTGTTTGCGTTCTGTCTTTTTCTCTCCCCGCTTTTAAAAAGGATTTTAACTTTTGGGGGGATTGTTTTAAACAGTTTCCAAGGTGGGGACCTGTCCTTGGATCGCACGTCTGTCAAAATAGGGATTTCAGGGAAAACTGTGTCTCTGAGGCGCCGGGAGTCAGCCAGGCTGTCTCCGTGCTCCGACGGCTGTTGGAAACGCAGGCACAGTGTTTGCAGAAATCAGGACCCCGTACTCTGCACGGGGTTCAGAAACCTGGGGTGAGGGAGGGTCCAGAGAGCTAAGGGAGTGGCAGAGACTCGATGACAGCTTGTTTTCCACTTGCGGGGGCTCCGTGGCCCCCCTCTCCGGCCCCCCCCAGGCAGCCCCCCAAGGGCCCCCCAGGAGGCAGCCCCGGGGCTGGGAGCGCGCACTTACCGTGATGGCCTGCAGCCGCTCCCGCAGCAGCGCCGCCTCGTCCATCCTAGGAGTCCCAGCCCGGCCTAAGCTGCAGGAAGTCCCCGGCCACCATAGGTCAGGAGCCTCCCTGGGAGAGGGGCAGGGGTGACCGGGAGCCGGACAAATCCGCCCTCAGTCCCGCCAGGGAGCAGCCGGGGCCGCCGGCGGGGCAGCGGCGTCTGGGAGCAGACGGACACACCGGTCAGCCAGACAGACACATGTAATGAGGGTGCGCCAGGCGGGCGGGCGGCGCCGGCTGCTGCTCTGCTGACTGACAAGTCTGAGCGCGGCTCCCGAGCCCTTCCTCCAGGAGCTGCCAGCCCTTTGTTGTAACGTGCACAGCGGGCGCTCTCATTAACTGTTCCTTCCCCACGCCCGTCCTGCGGGCTGGCAGGGGAGCCCAGGCTGGTCCTCCCCGGGCTGGCAGGGGAGCCC